TATAAAATATTGAAAAACAACAAGGAACACATAAAATTAAAAAAATAATTAAAAAAATAAATAATAATAAACAAATAAAAAATAAAATAAAAAAAAACAAAAAACAAAATAAAATAAAGACAATAAATAATATAACATAAATATAATATAAAATATTGAATATTTTCCTGAGTATCATATCTAGTTGTTTAGGAGGTTTTTCCCTCGTTTCTGGTTCCACCCACCTGAAAAACTCGCGGTTGGAGGAGTGCAGGGCCCTGACCGCCTCCCTCTGGTCCTCGGCCTTCTGCCGGACGCCTTTGGGCAGGGCGGCGGTGACCTGGTGGCAGAAGTAGGCGGGGCAGGTGTAGGCGGGGGGCAGCAGGTCGATGTAGGGGAACCAGGGGGAGGCCCCCCCTCTGTGACGCTCACACACCAGGAACACGCAGAGAGCCAGGAGGGGGGAGAGACGGGGCCTCCAGCTGTGGAGACAAACACAGATTTATGGGAACAATTCTGACTCCCAGTCCTCAGGAGGAAGAACCAGGACACGATAGGGTTGTCAAAAGTATTAATACTCAAAAAAGTATGGATACTAAAATGTTGTATCCGGATACGATACTGTTAGAGTGGGCTGATTCCACCTAATTCTACCTAATTCCACCCGGTCCTTATGGAGACTTGGAAAATGAACAGAAGAGGTCTTTAACAATGAATGGAATTTATTCCGGCCACAAGTAGGATATCACAGCGCTGGATTTTCTGGGGAATGTTGTCTCAACGGGGCGATCCCACCAAAGAGCGCCGAATACACGTCACTCTTTGGTACATTTATCTTCTTAGGCTAAGCTCCGCCCCTTACAATGCAAAACTGGTCTTCGCAGCACCGAATTGTAATTGGCCATTTAACTCTAACGTAAACATGCCAGCTTCCTGTTCACGTGATCCTATAGTGTAGTAAAAAAGTGTTGTGAATGTTGGTTGATGGCGTGGAGCTAAAAACACAGGATAAACATCAACTTTAACAGAATCTAAAAATTAATTCTTTCAATACTCATTTTCAAAAGTATCGATACCACCACCCACTCCTCTCTCTGATTTATTTATTTATTTATTTACGTTGTTTATGATCATTAACATGGTAGGGTTGTCAAAAGTATTTTTTTTTTAAAGTATAAAAGTAGAACATGGAGCACTGGGACAACGAGACGTCCTAAACAAGGAGAAAAGGATAAAAATCTGGAGCTGAAAAATTCAAAAGGCAGAAAGGAAATTAAGAGTTATCAAGAGTATCGATACTCAAAAAAGTATGAATACTAAAACGTTGTATCCGGATACAATACTAATTTTCAAAAGTATCAATACCACCCCCCTTCTCTATGATTTATTTATTTATTTACGTTGTTTATGATCATTAACGTGACGTTAGCCTTGAATTGCTAGCTGCGGCTAATGGTTAATTATAACACGTCAACATTAATCAAGTCTGTCTGGCTGCAGACTGCAGGAAGCCAAGGATGGATATCCAACTCCCCCACATCCAAGTCGGCCATTTTGATTAAGTCACCAATAGGAAGATCCCAGGCAAGAAAATCCTAATTGCTTCATGGCAATATAGACATTCATTTAAAAATAGTGAAATTAATCTTGCAAACACTGAATTAAACTATATCCATAATATTATGTTAAAATAGTGGATGTTAAATAGGTTTGTACAATAAGTCCAAACAAGTTTAACCAAAAAATATTTATTTCTCACAATTATGAAGGGTGGAGGGTTAGGGTTAGGGTTAGGGTCATTAAAGTCATCCTTGTAGTATCGAAAATGGTATCGAGTATCAAATATTTTTGTATCGTATCAAGTTGAACATTTTAGTATCGTGACAACCCTATGACATGGACAGGAAAAACTGGTGCCAGAAAAAGCCGGATTTTTAGTCCCACCTCTTGATAAACCGTCCCAGGTAGCTGTCCAGAACCGTGGAGGTGGTGATGAGACACGACTCCGGCAGAGAAATGATCAGATCACCAGGCTGTGGACAGAGAGAGATGAGTCAGGAGGATGGATGTTCAAACCCCAAGAGATTCACTGGAGCTTCTGCTCAGTACAGATGAACCCCAAACAACCAGAGGATGACATGGTTCTCTTTTTAGATG